AGCAAAATGCAAATAAATCTTGAAGAGGCAATGTGGTCAGCTAAAATCTGGAGCAATTTCCCAAGCCAAGTCCATTCCCTCTATGTCATGTCTGGAGGAGCTCTCAGCAGCGAAACCTGACCGAGGGCAGGTCCCTCCTCCCTGCAGGGCCTGTGTGACACCTGGCACGGTCACAGCAACCTGGGGACACCTGGCCCCACGCAGAGAACAGCCACAGGAGCTTTGGGTGCATTTCTGAGAGTGCCCATTCTGTCAGTGAGCTGCCCCAAGCCCTGTGCCCCAGCACAGCAGTCTGGAGGAGCCGTGGATGGGCAGGATGCACCAGCAGAAGGGGATTTACCCAGGTCAGCAGAGCAGAGAACACCGTGCTCAGGAACAAAGAGCTTCACTATGGCTGGAATTACTCCAAATCCTTCTTCCAAGTATAACATGGTGGGCCTTGGCCCACTCCAGCATGCCCAATTTGAAGTGGAAAAGCAGGAAGTCTCCCAAGGTTTCAACACAAAGCAACACATGAAGCTTCACTGTGGCATCTCCAGAGTCACTTTTCAGGAACATCCTCCTCCTGGGCTGTGCTGCCCCTGCAATGTGCTCAATGGTTCCAAAGGAGATACTACACTTCTACTAAGCACATATCAAATCCTTTTGGCTTCTGAACCATTTTAGAGTTCGATATTACATGTCAGGAGAATTTCTTAACAGAAGTGATTTGTCTGTACTTTTTCTAAAAGTAATCACAAAATGAAGGATTGAAAATAAAATTTCTGTGAGTATTAAATGAGAAATAATAATTCAAGTAGATTATTTATTTGAGGTGAGAAAAAACAAGTCAGAAGTTATCAGCAAGTGCTTCTGAATTAATGTAACTCAAACACACCTGAAGTTTGTACCAAGGCAGTGCCACAGCTGCCTCATCACAGCCAAGCAAATGACACAAAGCTCAAAGCCAAGAATTATCAAATGCAAGGACAAGTGGAAGAAGAGGAAGAAAAACAGCTAGATTCACTTGGGGAAAGGAGATGACAAGAGGTGAAACAAATAATTTAGTGAGCAGTCTTGAAATGGATTTACAGAGCAAATAAATCTGCATGATCAAACTCAGTGCCCCTGTCACACTTCCCAACTTTTAGATCCTCATGTATCTGTGCTCTTAATAAAAGCTTTAACCAAGCCACAGTAACCAGTGACTGGGGAAAGCTCATCCTGGGAATATTTTCAGCTCATGTCATTACACTTTTTATTAAAATACATACATATTTATTTTTCCAAGATGAATTACAGACACAGATCTCCAAAACTTTGTAAATCTATTTTTAATCCATGTTTTACAGCAGCTTTTTCAAACCCCCTACCCTTCTTAAGATCTAACTAGCACTTAAGTATCAAAGACAGATTTGCATTTCAAAAGCCAATTAAAAAACATAGTGTACCAAGGCACTGATTAAAGTGTTGTGGCTTTACATAAATTAGGCAGTTCCTTTGACTTTCCCTGTTTCAAATCCATCATAACAATGGGAAATCCCACACATTACATGGACTGTACGACCACCTTCTCCCTTCACTGCCCTTAGAAACTGGTGATGACAGTTTCTTCATTTGCTTGAAGGAACCAAAATGTGAAGGCTCACACTGAATGGGAAAGAGATACTCATATCCCCAAACTGCTGCTCATTAAAGAAAACTAACATTTATTGTTGTTTGCAGTTCTTAAAAATCAAGGATTTTTAAGACAAGCCTGGCAGAACAGCAAACACTTTCCTACCAAGGTGTAGCAGCAGAACACAATTTCAAGTTACAGACTAATTCAAGTGTTCCTCACAACGGAATATTTTACCACGTCCTCTGACTTTCTGAAATCTAAAGGCAGCAAAGTTCAGTTTCTTTACAAGGCTCAGTTGCCACAGGACCTCTTGATCCTCACCCTTCCAGAAGCCCAAGTCTCCTCATGGATCATCGCACATGGAGAAGGTCCTTTAAGGGCACGCTGCCAGGTGCGCAGCGAAGCTGCCATGACCCACTCCCCTGCACGGCTCAGAGCAGGGTCAAACACAAACTGGTGGAAGCCCAGCCAGCCTGTCTCTAACACATTTCCTTCAATCCCTGACTCAGCACTCCAGGCCCAGGCACTCACAGAATGTTTTGGGTTGAGTTTTTCATACAGTGGCTCACTGATCAAACCACTGTCACCCTACAGCAACGAAAGAGCTGCAGATTCCAAAACCCAAAAAACTGAGATCCCTCAAACTAGGACTCTGTGACACACCACAGCTTGTCATTTTAAGAGTTATTTAATGAGTAAGAAGCTCTTAAAACATGCAACCCACACTTCATACACAATGTGTCCTTTTAGAGATCAGGTGCATGGCAGCACCACACTCACACACAGCAGAGGAACCACTGCTCAATTAAGAGAGGAATTTGCTCCCTGCCACTGGAATTTTGAGGCCAAGGGGAGCCCTTACTATGCCAACAATGCCCATGCTCACCACAGCCTGAAAGCTGCCAATTAAAACAAAGAGTGGGGAGGAATATTAAAAACCACTGTTAAAACTAAGGGATGCAAATGAGGACAAGAAAAGCAACAGGCTAAACCAGAATTTAAATATTCCACCTCTTATTCCAAAGCCTTCAGCAACCAAAGTGCCTTTTCCCCTACAAGAGGATTAAACTCAGCATGGTCTTGCCCAGCTCCTGGCACTTGTCTGGGGTGGTAAACAGTTTTCACACACCCACATCTGCCAAAGCCTGTGCAGCAGTGCAGCCAGGGGATGCTCTGGGGCAGCTTTCCAAAGCACAGGATGGCAAAAGGCAAAGCACAACATGTGTCACCACTGTTTCCTCTAGTTGTGGGCAATAAAAGTACCATTTTTATTGCATGGAATTAATCAATAATCTTAACACACAGCTGTCAGGCCAATGTGTGCCAAAGGGGGCAACTGTTGTGTGGGGAAGGTCCTCATTGTCTTGGGCTAGACTGTATTTGTTCTGTTTTCTACCTAAGATGTTTTGGGGGAAAAAAAACCTCACCAGAACTGCATTGTTGTTTGTTGTGAGTTTTTTTTAAGTAGGCTCTTGGGTTTCTTTTTTTTTTTTTCCACAAGTACTTGGGTTCTTTTTCAAGTACTAAAAGGCTCTTAAAGATTCCATCATTTTAGAAAATATCAATTGAAATAGTACCTTCTACCTAGATAGGAGAAAATGGAAGTGGAAATTCAGCAGACATTTTGGCTTACCTTCATTTTTAACCCCATTAACCTCACCTAATGATCATATAGAGCAGGCTGATAGCAGAGGCAGGAGGCTGAAGGCTCTCATGTGGAAAGCAGCAGAATTAATCCCGACAGCAGCGAGGCAAGGAGGTGGTAATTGCTGGAGAGAAGTGTGGGAGAACTGCCTTTATTGTCCTCATTGCCAAGAAGCTCGGAAATCTATTCCTCATTAAGAGATTCTCAAAGTCACTCTTTTAAGGTATAAAACCCCAATTTTTCTATTTCTGACACTGCTGATGTTTCACAACAATGCTACAAGCCAAGTTAATGGGAACAACATCCGAATTCAAACGATGGAAGCAGCAGCTCTGGGAGATGCAGGAGCACCACTCAGGAAGAATTCATTACCCCGAGACATTTATTAAGCAAAGGAAAAAAAAAACTGTTTGAAAAAGGCTGGCAAACATCATTAGAGAAACAAAGGGAAATCGCTTCACAGGCGTTTTTTCTAGTTACAGCGCCTTAGTTTACCTTGGGTTTTTTGTTTGGTTTGGTTTTTGAAGTCTCACCCTTACTCAGTAATTACAAGTCTCTTCCTGCTTTACTGTTTACAGGACACAAGCTAACAATACCAAGCCCTGAGAAACAAGCAAGTGACAGAAAAAATCACTTTTCCCAGACTTAAATCTTTATTTTTACCTGCAAACTTCACTCCCTCCCTGCTTCCTACCCCCCAAAATAAGGCTATCACCTATCAAGTCTAAAGGGTACTCAAAACACTGAAGCTGAGGTTATGACTTGGGCTATTTAATGGAAAATTGTGTGCACTTGGTTGGTTGTTACTTTTCAGGCTTCCTTGTTCACACCTGATACTCAAGAAACAGAAAAATACAACTCCCCAGGACTCCATTCCCTACCCTTCTCCTAGTCCTGCAGGGATTGTACACATTGCTGTTAGGAGCTTCCCAAATGTTTCAGACAGAGCAGGTTAATTCTCCACATACAAGCACAGAGAGTTATTTTAAGGTTATTTATACATAAAGAAAGCAAAATCCTGTTTTCTTCCCCCTTCCAAGCCGTGGTAAGTCTCCATTGTGATTTCAGACACCTGACACTTCTCTTAATCCATTCATTGCAGCTTTCCTGATCTGCAGCGTTTCCTGAGAAATACCCCCCATTAAGCTGCTTACAGGAACAGAGCACATGCCAACTCCCAGCCAGTAAAATGAGAGCCACAGTCCCAGTTTCCCCGAGCTGATGGAACCAGCTCGTGCTCCTTGGGAAGCACCTTCCTCTTTTTCCAAGGGCAGAGCATTCCTTTCTGTGAGAAACGATGCTCACTTCCAAAAATTGAAAAGGTTCATTAAAACCTTATCAAAAATACAACAGAAGACTGAATGGAGAAAATATTACAGCACCAGGAGCAGAGGATTTTTCCTACCATGTGCTCATCCACACAATGGAGGTTTTGCCTTTTAACCCTTTAGTTCCCCCAAAGCTCTGTCCATCGACTTCTTCACTGCGCAGTGGTGGAGATCACTTCCTTACATCCTGATTGGAGGTCAGGTGCTGCCACAGTGAGGAGCTGACCCTCCCAAATGTCTCAAACCCACGCCACCCCCTGATAATAAGATAAGCGGGGGGTGAAGCTTAACTATAAATCTGTAAAACTTCTCTTAACATATATACATGATATTTGCCTTTTAATTGTGAGAGTCACCCATCACATTACTCATCTATCACACCTTCCATCACCACGCTCTCAGCCACACTCCCAAACCAGAGCCCTACCTGCCACGGTGAGCTTCGCCGTCCTGCTCACGATGGTCCCCAGGCTGTCCACAGTTGCCACGCACTGATAATATCCTTCATCAGGTTTATTATGCTTGGAATGCACCACGCTGTTAATTAATAAAGATCCATCTGGCAGCAGCTGGCGGCGGTCGTCCGACACCAAGTTGAGGAAAGAGCCATCCTTCTTCCACTCGATCCTGGGAGGGGTCTCGCACTGAGCCGAGCAGTTCATGATCACCGACGCCCCGCGCACCGACAGCACGTCCAGGGGCTCCACCAGGAAGTAGAAAGGAGTGAAGGTTCTCACCAGTGATTCTGTAAAACATCACAGAATTTTTGGTTCGTTTTCCACGGTTTTTTATGTGAAACACATCCTCCTTGAAGACACTGTAACGAGCACAAGCACCGCTCACATCCTCCCCCAGAACACGTTCAACCAGCTTGGTGTGTATGACAGTGTTTTCTGCTTTGGTTATTCACATCATGGACCCTCAGATTCTCAGGCATTTTCGTCCCTAAAATGTATTTCTGTGCTCTGCTCTTGGCCCTTGTGGTGCGGGTGCCCAACCAAGACTGGGAGCCACCAAGAACATTTCAGCCCTCAGCAGAAAGTCTCCCATTCTGTGCTTAACACATCTTGCAAGTGTCATACAGTGGTTTTTTATTTCTATTCTAGCCCAGGATAAACATGATTACTTTTTCATTTTAAATATTCCCCAAAGAGTTCTGTAATTAACATCTAGTTTGCATTAAGAAGTGAATTTTAATTACTTTCTGGTGTATTTGGTCAAGCAGAACGATTTTGTGTCAATATCACTTTGACTTGTCTTAATTTAATCATTTGTAGAAAACAGAAGACAAATTCTTCCAGAGAAGAACAGTTTTCCAGTCAGCATAACACTGGGTTTCAGGGAAAATCTCCATTTTTAAAGCCCACCTTAGAAATAAAGCTCATATAACAATAACAAACTCCTGCACTCATCTCAAAACCATTTCATCTCATGGTCAATAAAAAAAATAGTGAAATATTTTAAGACCACCTGAAAGACAAATATGCATTTAATATCGAGATTTGTTTAATTAAGCCACAGAATAATTCTGGGGTTTGAGGAAAAAGCACAAACTCTGAAGGCGACCTTTACTTGCAAACAAAGGCTGTCCTGGAAGCATTGCAGCTTCTCCCATTGCTTGGTTGTTTGTGGGGTTTTTAAAATCGGATTTACCTTCTAAAATGACCTTAATTAACAAATTGATGTGATTTCCTCTATCACCGAACTACACAGAGAGTGCCTGGTCTCCAAAGAGCCTCCAGCTTCCCCCCAGAGGGACTCCAGCCTTCCTGCGCAGAGCCCATTGTCTCTGCTACTCACAATTCGCAGCAATTTGGAGATAAGGCAGGAGTGGTGTGAAAGAAACAACAGATAAATGAGGCTTTGGCAGCTGATAGCATTCAAATGCTCTCTTACCTTCAGGAATTCAAAGAGGAAATAAAGGAAAACATTCTAGAAATATTGACGTTTCTCCAGTGATAGAGTCAGGCTGGAGACCTGTTAGGTTGGGATCCAAATCCTTGGGATTATCTTTCTTGACGAGAATGGAGACATCCCAAAAAAATACCCAAACCAAATATACAGAACAAAAAATCAATAGAACTTAAATATCTAGGAGCTGCTTATGTTACTGTGGTTTGTACAAGGGCACCTACGTGTGGATGTTCTCGATTCTCTGTGCCTCTGAAATCCTCTGAGTGTCAGCTCTTAAGCAGCAAAAGGCAGAGCAGAAACAAGAGCCATGAACAGCAGGAAAATCTTTGACCTTTTTATCCCTATAATCTCTTCCAGTGCTGCAGAAACCTAAAGTTCTTATCAAAATTAAAGGCTGAGCTGCACAGTGCCTGGGCTTTCCAAGGGAAGCATTTCCCCCCACCTCAATTCCAGGCTTCTCTAATTTTTTCCAGAATAAATCTAGACCCCTGTGAGAACAAAATACACTGGTTTGAGTTTTGCTTCACTCTGGCTTTTCAAACAAAAGCCAGAAAACCTTTAAAAGGGGAATGGCAACTTTTCCTTTGCCCTGCCAGTCTCCAGTGCAGATTGGAGCAGATCTAATCCATCGATAGAGTAAAACTGTTCTTGCCCTGAAAGCAACAAGGTGCCCAAGCAAATAGAGCAGAGGATGCCAAGAGAGGTCACAGCAAGACCTAAGAGCTCCACAGGGATTATAAACCTTGAGGAAGAATTGGAAGCAGATTCTCAGCCAGGCTTCAGAGGTACCAAACTCCTGCCAAGAGCCCTGGGAAGATACAGCACAAGCTGCTTCGTCCCAGGATATCACTGTGCCCCTGCACTGAATGCAGCGGGGACAAAATGTGAAAGGCTGGTGAATAACTCCATCCCAGCCTGAAGGAAGTTAGAACATGGTCTCTGTTCTGGTTTCAGAGGATCTGCAGTTGGGGTTTGGGGCACTCTGGAGAACCACACTGCAGCCAGCTAAGCTCGTGCCACCTTCAAGCCTCAATTCAGCACAAGAAGGGTTTGTACACCTTTGACCTTAATAATCTTCTATTTCTACCAAAGAGCCATTTCTCCCACTCCATCAACCTAGTGATTACTCAGCTCGATGACAGCATCTTATTTTGGGTAGAATGGGTGTACATTGGGTGCAGGGAGTCCTTCCCCTTTGCACACACTTACACAGGTGGTACACACCACTGCCCCCATTTGTGCTAACACTGGCCAAGGAGCTTATGCTAAGTCTGTCCCCCTGCTCGGAACAGGAACAGATAAATCTCACTCGTTCCCACCAGGCTGGAGTTTATTTTTCCCAGATCTGCTCTGGAGATCAGTAGCAGGGAGCCAGATGTGCCAAAACACAACGGAATGCCCTGGCACTGACAAGATCTGAATGAGCTGCAGACACACAGTCATTTCTGTGTCCTGGAAGCTCCACAGCTCCCTGACTCAGCCCTGCCAGCGCACAGGCAGCTGGGCTTAGCACTCCTGTGCCCATCCCAGTCGGGTTTAGCACTCCTGTGCCCATGCCAGTCGGGTTTAACACTCCTGTGCCCATCCCAGTCGGGTTTAGCACTCCTGTGCCCATCCCAGTCGGGTTTAGCACTCCTGTGGCCATCCCAGTCGGGTTTAGCACTCCTGTGGCCATGCCAGTCGGGTTTAGCACTCCTGTGCCCATCCCAGTCGGGTTTAGCACTCCTGTGCCCATGCCAGTCGGGTTTAGCACTCCTGTGCCCATGCCAGTCGGGTTTAGCACTCCTGTGCCCATCCCAGTCGGGTTTAGCACTCCTGTGCCCATGCCAGTCGGGTTTAGCACTCCTGTGCCCATCCCAGCACACAGGCAGTCAGGTTTAGCTCAGCAGCACGGCACTGCTGACTACATGACTACCATAATCCCCAGATCCTATTCTTGGAAGCTGCTGTAAGGCTTACTACTTTCAATTTAATGTTAGACTAGCTGATTATTCCTGCCTAACGGTATTAACTTGCCCTTGGGTCCTCTGAATATTTCCATCTTCCACGGAACAGTCTGCCAAATTTGAACTCAAACCTCGTCCTCGCTCTTCCCTAAGTGGTGTGAAAATGTAACAAATACAGTTTACACCATCAACCACTCTGAGAGTGAAAGACAGCAAATACAAGTTTACCTAGAACACACAAGCCCAAAATCCCCACAAAACAGCCTCCAACACCAGGACTGGAGCTCCTGGAGAGAGCCCAGAGGAGGCCACAGAGATGCTCCAGGGGCTGGAGCCGCTCTGCTCTGGAGCCAGGCTGGGAGAGCTGGGGCTGCTCACCTGGAGAGGAGAAGGCTCCAGGGAGAGCTCAGAGCCCCTGCCAGGGCCTGAAGGGGCTCCAGGAGAGCTGGAGAGGGACTGGGGACAAGGGATGGAGGGACAGGACACAGGGAATGGCTAAAAAGTGGAAAAGGGCAGGTTTAGGTTAAATACTGTGAGGGTGGCCAGGCCCTGGCATGGGCTGCCCAGAGCAGCTGTGGCTGCCCCTGGATCCCTGGAAGTGTCCAAGGCCAGGCTGGACACTGGGGCTTAAAGCACCCTAGGACAGTGGAAGGTGTCCCTGCCCATGGCAGGGGGTGAGACTGGATGAGCTCCCTTCCAGCCCACACCATTCCAGGATTCTGTGATTCTGAGTTTGGGAAATACCAGCTTGTTCACCTCACCCATTTGTCCAGGAACTGATGCCCAATTAACTGATTTCATACATTCCTACCCCCTACTATTGAAGTTCTAGTCCTCCTTGTAGCTTCTCTCTGCTCAAATTCTCACAATTAACCATCAGTTCTGACACTGCTTCAGCGAAGACAAAATCCATCACCCCAAAGTGATCTGACAGCATTTAACCATGAAGTGCTTCCAGCCTGTCCTGCACCATTTTCTGTGCAGAGGTGCATCTTTATAAGGCTTCAGATGAGCAATGTGTAGAACAGTAAATGCCAAGCAGCTGCACAAGTGGGAAGAAGCTTCCCTTCGTTATCCAGTTAATTTCTGGAAGACACAAGCACTACAATATCCACCTTAAATCACTGAAATGCGTCCTTTAACAACCGCCTGCCACGAGCTCATCAGAAATTACAGCACTTAGGAAAATAACTCCAGACAGAACCACTCTGATCTCAGTCCTACTTGACTCCACATAAATCACCTCAATCTGGTGCACAGCAATGTGTCTCGAGATTTTACCAGCAGTGCCACAGATCTGACTGGGATTCAGTGCTGCCACCAGAAGTGTTCAGTCGTGATGTTCTCCTGAGGACGAGCAGCAGCTGCAGCCCAAGCACAGGGCTCCAACACCACATTTCCCTTCACGTTGCAAAGAAACCACAGCACATCTTACAAGGACCAAATGTAACAACCATCCAGAAGGAAAATGCGAAGCACAGGTATCATTTCAGAACTCCTTTTTCCAATCAGGATGATCAATTAAGGCAGCCAAAAGCTGCTATCACAATTAGCTGATGAGCAGTACGCCACGCTTTGGTTTGGAAGGAGCCAAACCAGGCTGTGATGAAGAGAGATCACTCACTGTTGGGAGCTGAGGAATGACATGGCACTGGGGGCAATACCTGTCCTTCTGACTCCAAGGCAATTCAGGAGCATGGATATGACACCCTTCAAGCTTGACATGTGAAACAGAAGCATCTGACAAGTCCTGATCAGACTGTTAGACAGCCCCTTCTCACACACTGTGAGTCAATGATAAAAGCTCCAAGCTCTCTGGCTGCAGGATTGCACTTTTAAAAGGCTTCTCAGAATTTAATTAACGTTCCCAATGGCCTCTATAATC